CAATAAAGTAGCAGCAAGAATGCAGAAGCATGAGGAACCTGTAACGCAAAACATCGCCCACCGTTAATACTAAGCTTGTAAAAATTATGGGGAGCCAAATAACAGCGGTTACACACAAGACAAGAGGATGAAATTTACACTCTTTTTTCAAGATCATAATTCAGCTTTAGGTTTTAAGACTCAGCGAGTGTTCTTTGAAAGGTAAGAAAATCAAGCAAGAGTGCAGCACCTCCACAAAAAAATTCGTAACAAACAGTAAAACTTTGAAAGACCTCCTGAACTAAATCATTACTCTAAAATCAAAACCAAAGTGGTTCCACTTGTGCTGATCAACGAATAAAAGTTTACAAACTTTAGTCTCAAACGAATGAGGCTGCAGTATAAGAATCCCATTAGTAGTTAAGCCATCAACGTTACCATCTGGTTTGGTCCATTTCGTTGCTTTTTCCTAAACATTTAATTTCTTAGCAAATGTGAATTAAACTTTATGTAGCATAATCTGATAATAGGAAGTGCAGAGGTGAAATAAAAAAAATTAAAAATTAAAGTAAGGACGTAAGGAAATGTCTTAAAAGGAAATCATACACCAAGAAAGATATTTCTGGAAGCGTCAAAACCAGCAGCAAACAAATAGGCATTGTGTGGCTCTACTCGGTCTATCTGGATCCTACAAGCATAGCGACTTATAGTAGAAGATGCAGGACGGAGTTTCTCAATTTCTTTTTCTTCTCTTCTGGCAGCATCGGCGAGGCACTTCCTGTTACCAGGCATAATTGGACACTGTTTGTCTCCTTTTCCACCTTCATCGTACAACTGGGAAATATTGGGCGAACAATCCTTATTGCTCGCTAAAAAAATTGAGGCTAAATGTTAAATGGTTAAACCCAAAACTAACCTTCTGTGTATTTTGCACCAAAGAAGAAAAAATGTTGAAGTCAGACCCACAGAAGACTGTAAAAATACACTACAAGATCATCTACAGTGGTTAAGAATCGTGATGGCAACGGAAACTAAAAAAAGACACTAAAATAGGCAAGAGGAGAAATGTCAAAAGAAACCACGCTGAATTCCTCAAGCAAAAATTTAAATGAAGTATACCAAAATGTGCGAAAGAAACTCAAGAACCAAAGACGGTATTTAACGTTAAGTTGTGAATGTGATTAGTAGGATCTGTGGTACGAATCAAATAGCTTGTTTCAATCTTCTGAAATCTACACCTGGCGAGAGAGGCGCATCTGGACTTAAAGCCAACCAAGTATCCACTACAACGAAATCAATTTGTGGTTCTGAAGACCTACCGATCTAAAAAAAATCACAACAATAAAATTTTGGTTCACTATCATTACACTTTATCCTGACTCCATGATAAAAGAATATTTTTTTTTAAAAACGCAAAAAAATCACAGAAAAGACCTAACAGAAAAAAATTGTCATTTTGTGATCACCTTTACGCTTCAGCACATTCCATTCCTGATTGTTTGTACAGTTCTCGCAAGAAGAAAGCTATGCAGCTGAGTTTACATCAATCCAAACAGTTCAAAAAACTAACTTGGAACATATCTTTCGTACGATCTGGAAGAAATTCGACGAGCACTGTGTGGGTCTTGGTATAAGAGTAAGAAACGATGTGACGAGTAGAATCATTGACAACCTAAAAATAAACGGATGACACCAAAACGAGTCTTACCTGGCTAAAACACTTGAACCCTAAAAATCTCAAAACTTTCATATGCGGCAACCGGCAATATTCTGTTAGTCGGTAAACTAGTAACATTAGAGAAAACGAAAAAAAAAAACGATTCAGAAAAAACCACCTACAGCAAACTACAAGAATAAGCTTTTGTATAGCCAGTTAGAAGCTCAGCACCAAAAAACTATAAAACTGTGTCTATGCTTGAAAGATTAACAGTCAGCAGCATGTAACACATACCGCATTATCCCTAGCAGAACCTACAATAGACCTGCTGTGACCTTTTTTTATACCATTTCCTTCCTTCCGCTTACACACCAGCAATCGAGATTTGTGCTTTTTTCCATTCGAATTACTTCTTGTGCTTTCTTGTGAGCCATTGTATCTGTAAATACCGATATCGCATCTAATTTTTTCCTAATTTTAAGGAAAGATATCATGTTCTTCTAGCTCTTGACTTTTGTTGAGCCTTACTGACAAAATGAGTTTGCGTAGCAGATTGGGGAAAAAAAAGTTGACAACAACATTTTTAAAGTCTTCTGAGGAAAATACCAAATCACTCCTTTAATCTCATTAGCAACAAAAGCGGACAATAAGATCAGTGACTAACTTCAAAGCTTAGGATAGTTAAATAATCAATAAAAAGGTGACTAAACCTGTTCCGCTGCTTTCTAAAAATGTCTTGATTTTGTATGAAACAAAACGAAACTTTTATAGCTTACCCAAGAAGAATCAACTCGCCATATTTCTCCGGAGCATCACCGTTTTCTGAAGGATTTTCTTCCTTTTCTTCAATACGTGACACCACATAAACAGGTGCTAGTGAATCGGAAGCTTCGCTATCATTAACCATCAGCTCTCTCAATTTAAATTTATGCTAAACCTAAAAACTTTGACATCCCAACAAAGAAAACAAAATAAAAATTAAATTAAATAAACATTGACAAAAAAAAATAAAATAATAATAATAATAATAATGGAAGTCAAAACAGAGAAATATAGTAAAGCCACTGATCATTACAACAATAATTTAGTATTTCTTTTCTCAGGGTAGAAAAAAATTTCGAAATTTTTTCCTCTCTTTGATTCTAACTCAATTGTCAGCAGAAGAAAAAAGTATATCAATACTGAAACGGATTCATAACGATGATAATATACCAACTGACTAACTGCACACAAACAATGCAAGCAGCAAAAATAATAACTGATAACGACGGCAATAAAGTTAATGATAATGATAAGGGTAACAGTAACAGAAATATAGCA